CAGAGTGCTACTAGATCAAGTAATAAGATTAAATGAAATGCAAAAAGGAGGAGTTGCCCTTGCTGTTTACCTTTTAAAACTGAGAACTGGGGATTCAAACAGGAGACTATCGTCTCTAACCAAAATTCCTATATGCACATTGCAGTCCCTTATAAAAACAGCAAGGGAAGTTTTAATGGAGGATTTTGTTCCTTTATATTTGGGCCTCAACCATATAACTAGAGAAGAAATTGCTCAGAGAAATCTTATGATACCAAATGGTCTTTTTGGCAGTTTAGGGTCAATTTTTGATGGCACATATGTTTATGTTCAAAAAAGTTCTAATTATTTATATCAAAACGAACATACTCATTACACAAGTACCGCAATTTGATAAAAATGTTCTTGATTGTGTCAACAGATGGTCATATTATTGATGTTTTAGGCCCCTATCCAGCAACAACCTCAGATGCTGACATTATGAACAGTGAATTTAGAGAAGACAAACCCTTAAGACAGTTTTATAATAGAGGTGATGTATTTATTCTGGATAGGGGTTTTAGAGATTCACTCCCTTTATTAAATGAAGCAGGCTACGATACTCAAATTCCTGCATCGTTAAGAGAGGATGAATTTCAGCTCACTACATTTGAAGCTTATAAAAGTCGCGCTGTAACGATATGCAGATGGGTGGTGGAGGTGGTGAACGGCCGCTTTAAACGCGACTTTAAATTTTTTAGGCAAGAATCTTATAATATATCTGCTAAAAATATTACTAAAGATTTTAAAGTCGCTGCTGCATTACTTAATAAGTTCCACCCTGTCATTGCAGATAGGCCTGATGCTGGGGAAATCTTACAAGTTTTTCACAATAATATGAATAGGGAGAACATTCTGGCTGATTTTGTTAATAGTAACAATTTAAATATGAGACGGTCCCTATTCATAAACATAAATGAAAACAATATTAACGATTTCCCCCAGCTCACATACAGCGACTTAGTTTTGATATCTGTTGGCACATACCAAATAAAACAGGCCCGTTCATACTACGGTGAACATATAAGAGCAAACGGAACCTTCAAAATAGAAGTCAGTAGGGAAGGGGCGCAAGGTCTATTGCAAGAGCTGTCAACTTCTGCCACTGCGTGGCTTTTAAGAGCGAGAATAAAGTCTAGACACACTGGTCGAAAAATATACTATAGTTATATTTTAATTGACAGCTCTTTAACCGACCGAGATGGTATAATAGCGTACTATTGTAACTGCAAGGTCGGTAAAAGGACAGTAGGTTGTTGCGCCCACACAATGACAGTAATGTGATACTTGGGTTATGAGAGAAATAGAACCGAAAATGTGCAGCCTCCGGCTGCTTTTCTTGATAACATTTTGTTAATGAGTGAATAAAATAATTAAACAATTTAAAAAAGGTTGAGTTTTATTTTACTTTATTGAATAATAATTACAAAATTGCATTACTTATCACAAGAACGAGTGATTTTACTACATAATCTACAAATCATAAAACATAAAATAAAAACAAAACTCCAGGTTCTGCAAAAATATGATTTTTTGATGTAACTAGCAAATGTTAAAATCTTTAAAATGAGATATATTTGAACTTTGTTCACGCCGGGCCCAAGCTTGTATGGACCAAAGTTCATCTCCTTTGTGTTATGTATATACCTACAAAGCAACAAATAGCTGATATTTTTACGAAACCATTAAATAAAACCTCTCATAATTTTTTTGTACATAAATTAAGATTGGAATAGAGTTTAGTTCGCATTGTGTATTTATAGTTTGTTAGTTCTGTTAATACAAATCATTGTATTGTTAGTTCTTACATATTTATTGTAATGTTTGAAATTATTGTAATGTTAGTTCTGTTACCATAAATCATTGGGGGAGGTGTTAATTAACAATGATTTATATAATATTGTATTTTAATGGCAACACTGCGTCGGTTGTCAACACTGTGTCTATTAAGCGTCTCCCACACAGAAGCGGCTTGCGGTGGCGGCCGCGGTGGCGGCTAGTTGTATTCGCTCGCAATATAAGTAAGTCTGCAAACTCGTGCGGCCATGGCGCGGCCTGTCAGCAGCTGGCCGCGACCGCATGCCCCGCCCAATCCGGCAACGCGTGTCTGTTAAGCGTCTCCCACACAGAAGCGGCTTGCGGTGGCGGCCACGGTGGCGGTCAGTTGTATTCGCTCGCAATGTAAGAGAGTCTGCAAACCCGTGCGGCCATGTCGCGATCTGCAAGCGGCCGGCCGCAGCCGCATGCCGCGTGTACCGCGTGAAAAATGTTGCTAAATTCAGAGATTGTAATAGGAACTGAGCAAAATTATCCAGTACTTTATGATAATTCCCATCGTGATTACAAAATCATTAGGATTAAAAACGAAATATATGGTAATATTGCTGGATATAATAAGACTTCATCACGGTTAGTCATATTTACTGACGTCTAATCGTAGCTTAGGCACCACAGCGAATGGCGCTACAGGCCGCCGTTGCGACCGCGGTAGTGTGTTGTTACAGCGGCTGGAGCCGCGGCTCGCGGATAGCCGCCACCGCAAGCCGCTTGTGTGTGGGAGACGCTTTAGTGAGTTCGCGGTCAGTTGGTGGCCGCAGCGCGGTCACGCGCCAAATTTTTACAACAGGCCGCGTGTACCGCGTGAAAATGGTGCTATATTCAGAGATTTTAATAGAAACAGTGCAAAATAATCCAGTACTTTATGATTATTCGCATCGTGATCACAAAATTATTAGGATTAAAAATAAAATATATGATAATATTACTGAATATAATAAGACTTCGTCACGGTTTGTCATGTTTACTGACGTCCGATCGTAACACAGATACCACACGAATGACGCTTCAGGCCGCCACTGCGACCGCGGTGGTGTGTTGTTGCAGCGGCTGGAGCCGCGGCCCGCGGTTAGCCGCCACCGCAAGCCGTTTGTGTGTGGGAGACGCTTTATGAAGGAAGGTTCAATATAGAGATGAGACATACTTACAAAATTTAATACCAGGGCTTCTAAGTACGAGTATGGAAAAATACCAGGGTCGAAAACCAGGTTTTAAAAATACTTGAAAGTATTTGTTAGTGTCGTTTTTAATTGTTTTGTTAACGATATGAAATCTTTCCTTTTTGGCTTAGGACTAGAAACTAATAAAAGTTTTAAAACTGTCTCTAACTCCAATATACACACGAAATAACTATTTAATAATATTAGGTCATGGTCAGTAGGTTACGTAATCAGTTCACAATAACAATTGAATTTACAAAAAATCGAAACAAAACTTTTACTTCCTCGAATATAAACATAATTCTTATTACTTACTACTTACGCAACGTCTCCAGCTGCGGTGTCAAAGTTTGAAAATACTTGCATAGGAATTCGACCCGTTTTCCATGTGAGGCTACTAAAAGAGCAAAGTAGTATAAATAAAAAAATACTTTGAAGTTCAAAGTATTTTATTATTTTTTGGTCGTAAAAGGGCGCCGTACTTTAAAGTAAAAACCTGGTAGCATAAATACGTCTCATTGCGACGCGACCGACGTGTCCTGCCGTGGTGTCAAAATTTGAAAATACTTGCATAGGAATTTCACCCGTATTCCATGTTATCCTACTATGAATAAGGAGCAAAGTCGTATAAATAAAAAAAACATTGAAGTTCAAAGTATTTTTCGTTCACAAATACGATTGAGTTTCTTATTACTATTAAAATATGGATAATTTTCCTATGCAAGTATTTTCATACTTGCAAGTATTTTTTGCTCGTACCAGGGCGCCGTACTTTGAAGTGAATACCTGGTTTTAAAACCTGGTAGCGTAAATACGTCTCGTCTTTAGTTCAATATGATGTTATAGGCTCTCCATGTTGTTGTTTTAAGGTTAATAAAAAGCACGTTTTATGTTCAAAGTATTATATCTTTAATTATCCCCGTAATCCTTAACATAACTGTCTAAACGTTGGTAATGTTTTTTTTTTTTGTGTACACATTTATCAATGTTAGAAGGAGATAAAATACAAAACTCGGTGCCTGTCTTTCTAAAGCTAGGGTCCCACGGCCTGTTTTGTCACAGGTCAGACCGCGCCAGGCCGGACAACAGGCCGTGGGAACCATCGCATCCGATGAGGCCTGTGGTGGCCTGTTGTCGCCCGTCCGATCCATCGGGAGTCGGTAAGATCAAAGGCGCGGCGCGGCGCGGCGCGACGGCGCCTGTCGCGGCCTGTACGGGCGCGTCTGCGTCGGTTGCAATCGTTCATTTCAACTGCGGTGGCGCTTGCGCGTACATGCTCATGATGGAATGGACGAACGAGCTTATATTCCAGTTTTTAACTCTTTATGAAAATGAAGCAGCGCTTTGGAATAGTTCGTCACCTCAACATAAAAACAAGAACGACTTTTGTTGAATGATGACACCCACCAGCGTCGTTTTTTCTGCTTTCTTTTTGCTTGGTTTATCAAACGTTCACCACTGAAAAAAACCACCGCGGCCGCACACGCAGCCATGCGCTCCGTATCACTTCACATGTTGGAATGTCAGTCGACAGCCCGCACCAGGCCGGCACACGCCGTGGGAACGCTCAGTACGGGCCGCGACAGGCCCATACAGGCGGGGCAACGCCTGGCGCGGCCTGTCGCCCGGCAGGCCGTGGGACCCTAGCTTAAGAAAAATGAGAAACGGTTACTATGTTCCAAGCGCTCACTAAATATATCCAAGGAGCTTAGCTTAGCTTTAATATATATATATACTTGGGCCAAAAATATAGATATTTTTTGCCCAAGCCTATTTTAAATCATAAATTAAAATTATTAGGTTAGATTTAGAATCTTTGCTTGCTACAAATTTATTTATCTATGAATGTTTTTAATAATTTAGAAACTACTACTAGGTAGTCTGTGGTAAATGGTTAGTGTAGCTTGCTACATATATATTTATCTATGGGTTAGTGTTCTCTTCTAACGCGTAGTGCTGTATAGGACAGTTACTATACTCTTTGGCGTAGTGTTTCTATATAGTTTGTGTCTGTGGGTAATAATAACGAGAAAAGTCCGGTTTGTTGATGAAAAAGAGAATTAAATAATCAATTTTAATTTTTAATAAAGCTATAGAAAACAGAAATGCCCTTTAGTGAAGGAGAAGTTTGTAGAATTTGTTTAGGCGTTAATGTACGCATGGTTGTACTAAAGGAGACTGGCCTCCAAAATTTGTATAGGACATTGACGAACAGTTTTGTAAGTTTTTTAATATTTATTTCATAGAATTATTACGCATAGAATACTAGCACGCGCACCGAAAGTGAAGCAAGTAAAACTAACGGGAAACCGCGTTAGTTGACTCAGCGACGCGTCAGTGCGCAACGTCACGTCTAACGGAGAAGAGCTCGCGAAGAATTGTAAAAATTACAGTTTGTCTTGTAAAATATTGTCACAACGGTGATGATAAACATAAAAGAAGTGATGATATTACATTTCACGTATAAGTTTATACATTTAATTCATTATAAGTACGTAAAACTAAAAAAATACTTACCTAAGCTCTCATAATACAAATGTTGCTAGTTGTGGGGAAAAAATCACAATTTTCTTTTAAAAATATTTATTTTCTATTTGTGTTTAAAACGTTAAATCGTAACGCTCTGTGTAAAACTCAAATGTTTATATATAGATACCTACTTCTCCAAGTGTTAATATTAACAATGCGTGCCTATTTAAAACTAATACGGAGTGATCAGCTAATCGCGATTCGTCGACGCCATTTTAACGCAACTATTTTATTTTAATTGCTTTGTTTATTGACTAAGGCTAAGTTTTAGAGTATAGAATAAAAACTTTTTTATTTACAACATCAAGAGATTATTAATAAGAACGCCTTTACTAACCAGATGTCACTTTACACCCAAACATTAACCAGATGTTACGTCAGACCCAAACATAGCCTATTTTAACCGACTCCCGTAGAGAAAGGTTATCAATATGTATGTACACTGATTTCTAAGCTTGATCAATTCGTATATACATGATGAAATTTTAGTGGTTGTTGTACCGCAGCCAAATTATACTGTCTCGATAGTAGAGTCAATTTATTAAATTAAAAAACATTACAATTAAAAAAGGGCAGATTTACAATAGTAATACCTCACAAGCTAGTAGGGCGTCCAGACTAGTTTATGTCGTATCACTACGCTTGAGACTCCATGTTATGAATATTTATTAGTGGCCTTTCACTGTGTAGGAAGCGGTAGCGCGTGCAATAAACGTAACACAACATTACGTCCAGTGAATTTTTTTTTCAGACTTTATTATAGTAATTCGGTATAAGCTAGCCTGCACGCCCGACCTAATTGCGAGATATTGCTATTGGTTTGTGATCGCATTCGAGTTTTGTTTTTCTCGATTGTAAATCTGCCATTTTTGCATCCTAATAATTTTTATTTTAATAAATCTAATGTACTACTAAAGCAAAATCATTTTACTTCGGGAAAACAACCATTAAGATTTCAGCGTGTATATTGGATCAATCTGTGTGTATATCCTTTCAAATAAAAAATCTAAATCGGTTTAGAAATTGTAGAATTTTGAGGTAAAAAACATTAAAAAAATACACAGAATTGATAACCTCCTCCCTTTTTGAAGTCGGTTAAAATTAAACATTACACGATGTGCTTATTATATTCGGGCAAATTAATTGTGTTTAATAATATTCTCAAATTTTATTACGTCTGCATTTTTGTACCATTAATATATGTATAATAAAGTTGTATTAGTACCATCATTATCATGTTTATTTTATTCCATTTTATATTCTCATAAAATACATCTTCGTACGTAATACGTAATCTTTATTATATCGATTTTTTAAAATTAATCAAAAAATAGTGATTTGCACAATTTGATTGCAAACGCCAGAAACTGGTATCACTGAATTGCGTGTATGTTTGCGTGTGACTGTGACGAGCGTAGGCACATTCGACTCGCGCCCACTAACATAATGATCTTGCATCATTTTAACGCTCGTGTTTTGTACTAGACTGCGTTTCTATGCGTAATAATTCTATGATTTATTTATTGTTAAATGAAGTTGCGATAATTTGTTATTATCACTGGAGAAATACATTATGATGCCCGATATATGTACGATAAGGTGTAGCGTTAAATATTGTGACAAGCACAACCAGAACCTCTAAAATCAGTATTATCATTTAAGTAAAGCTTAGTAGGATATACTTGGGTATGCAAGGAGCGGCATGTTGCGCAACATGTCTCTCAAATACTACGTGGAATGTCCCGAGACATATGTCGCGAAACTTTTTGCAGTCCACACTAGTCAGTACTCAGTAGTCAGTGCTTATAGGAATGTCGCCCGAGGAGGTTGTGGCGATTAGTGCTCCGTACGTAGTGCTTATTGCAGAAGTGAAACGTAAGTGAAAGAGAAGGTGGTGGATTCGGAATTCCTCACAATAACGAGAAGAAAGAGGAATTGATATTTTAAGTGATCTCCGAATGTCTGACGGATCTTTTGTGAATTTTACTTGAATGTCAACATCTGATTTTGAAACTTTATAACAAATGATCGGACCTTCCATAGCCAAACAGGATACTATACTACGGAATGCTGTTGCCCTCATATCGGTATCAGACTTGCCATTGCATTAAGATACTTGTCGACTGCAGTTTCTTATGCTTCCTTGTAGTACACTTTTCGAGTGTTGCTGATCAGCAGAATAGTACCAGAGTTAGTGGTTAGAAGTATCCCATAACAAAACATGACTGTTAAAGTTGAAGAAGTAAAAGCACAGTTTTGTTTCCCCACACAACTGACATGTTGCAAGGCAAGTTGTGCACACAACTACACCCGGTAACAAATGATGTGATACTGACGCTGGACAATGCACTCTCTCTCAGAGAGGGAACAAGCAACATGTCCCACGTCACTTACAGTGTTCTGGGTCACTGTGCAATGTTGTATCGTCATGTAGATTGAGCGTTCCACATCATCTTGCAACAAAATGGCCCCTAGTTTATCCGGGGCTTAATTGTACTACATACTAAAAGATACGCCGAGACTGTTTACAACACGCGTTAGAGCCCGTGGTCCCAAATTTACTGAGTCTGTGCCATAAAAAGGTGCCCTGGGCCTCCTTCCATGCAACCCGCACTGCTGCATAGATTTTGTTCCTGGTATATGTTTTAGTACATATTGCTTGAATGAGTATTATTGTGATTTTCTATCAAGAAATTAACATTTACCCTGGTTTGGTTGTTCAGCCACTTAAAACAGTTCTATTGGACTATTAAAGTGAGAGAATAGAGTAGAAAGACTTATTATCATTATTTTATATGTGGTAGAGCCAGGCTGCAGCTATACTATGGTTGTATCATGGATGGGTCGGCTCGACCGGGGTGGTACTACACTTTCACAGAATGTGTAGTACCACCCACCACCCTGTGTTTTGTTTCAAATTCCTCCTACCACAAGCATTATCAGTTTACTTAGAGTGATAAGAGAAGTATTTGTAATGTTCTTAGTGATGATAGGAGTAAGTTAATGTAAGTAATGTAGTTGATGGATGTAGGTGGTTTGGTACTGTAGGAGTTTTTTTCTGCCTAGATATCATCCTCTTACCATTTTCTGCCACCAAGCAGCAGTATGTATCCTTGGCTGAAGGACATCGAGAGCCAGGCTGTGATGCATTACATCTTAGTCCTCAGAAGTAACATTGCATCTGTAGCCATTACTTGAAGTTCGTTGCAGGTGCCCATGGTGCCCATTAGTCACTAACCATCAAGTAGATGGTAAGTTTATTTGTCACTTCAATATTAAAAATGTAAAATGTGGTAGCCAATAGATTTTATTACCAACTTATATATTTAAATACTATTCCATATTTATGAACATTTTTCATATTTTCAGTTGGATGAGAATGAGGGGCCCATAATTGTCTGTTTCACCTGTCATGCAAGACTCATTCGTTGCAGAAGATTACAACAACAGGCTATTGAGTCAAATGTGGTTCTGGAGCAGTTGCTTTCAGGAGGATCCATGGTATTATCCATTCCATTCATTAAAACCTATTAAAGTCCACTGCTGAACATAGGCCTCACTCATAGATTGCTTCATAGGAGGGATTTTGCTAAATTTGCCACACTTGGCAAGTTGGCAACCATAGTTTATATTAGTCGGAGTCATTATCAGGAAGATGCTGCTGCCCAAACCGTTTCTGTTTCCCTCTGTTGCCTCTTACGACACCCATCTCGTGGATAGGTATATAGGATAGTGGATATTTTTACACCGTCACTGAACAATTAACTTTTTTATGCTGCTTCCTATTGCTATATGGGAGAATGTTTCTAGTGCAAAGTTAAGTTTGTCCTTCAATCCAACTTACTTTTTTGATAGGCCGTATACAGAAAGAAAGCCGGCAGCTGGCGCCGATCTACCAGCTCTTATCGGCGCTGGTCTATTCTGGTAACAGTTACATAAAGCAAGCCGATTGAAGCAGAGCGAGCAAAATGTACTCATCGGACGATGAATTAGTTTTGTTAGAAAATGTGTATTTTAAAATGTGAAAATAAGCTATACATCCTATTAATCTATATCAAAAATTCTATAGATATACAAGAATGACTCAAGAAACATTTTATTACATTTCTGACTTAGTGTAAAAACATTTGATGAAAATTGGTGTAATTGGCATAAACTACCAACCTTTCCAGAAGAAAGACTAAGTACAAAAAAATATATTTATCGCTTAGTTATTAAAAGATAAAGTTATTTGATTTATAAAAAGATTATAATAAAAAAATGTTTAAGAAAAGATGTTTATTTGTCCATTAGTCAGTTTTTACAAAATATTCGCCTTAGAACTGTAAAGCTCTGTAATAAATAATAATTTAAAATGTTTAAGCGTGGTTTAAATTTACACTTGTACAGTCAACAGCAGATCAAGCGTATCACTTTGAGATTTGTACTGACCTTATTATTTTGTAATAAGAGCGATTTTAAAAAGTATCTAAGTGTACCCTTGATATGCCGTCTGCCGTACAATTAACATGTCACTATTCATTTCTCTATTCAACAAAAATATATGCGTGTCGTAGTTGTACGTGTTGTCGTATAGTTGTTCATTAATTTTAAATGGCGGGCGGTGCCAGCGCTGACCGACGCGTGTCGAAGATTGTCGGAACTTGTAGGCGACGTTCGGCGCTTATCGGCGCCTTTTCATATAAATGCCTGCGCCGGTTACCTTCGTGGACTGGTCCCTATAAGCACTGATAGGCTGCAAGCTTTCTTTCTGTATATGGCCTTAGAGCAATAGTGCTTATTTTTACAAAAACAATTATCAAACTGTTTATACTGTTATATATTACCCTATTGTATATAAACAAATCTCAATAAACAAAGATAAATCTTTGTCAATTTATAGCATTTGTGAATTTGAATCCGAAAATTGTTGAGACTCGATTCTCGGCATAGATGAACTATGTACATTCTTATTTAAGTTTACGCTGAACCCTCACTTTTGTCCGGTGTTTATTATTATTTAAAGTTGTCGTTAGGAAGATGCTGCCCCCTGACCTCATGTTTCAGTTTTCCTCTGTCCCTTTTTACAAAATCTGCAAGATGGCATTGGATAGTCAGGGTTCTCCTACTCCACCACTACAGTGGCTTTTTCTCTTATTTGAAAAAAGAATTTCCTTTCAGTCAATACCAAAACCGCATAAGGTTAGAGATGAGATTCAATTCACACCAATTTGTCATATAGATATCTGGCCTGTAGAGTGTGATATAGAAAAAGAGTGTAAAGACGAAATTTTTTGCCTTGATGCCGTTAAAGTTGAAGAGATTTTCGAATATGAGAATTCCAAATTGGAAGATAATGAGAATCATGAAACAGGTAAGATATACCCCTTTTCTTGATATTATTAAAATAAGATACAATTTACCTTATGGCAAGTGGTTACTGTAGCCCGTAGACACAAAATAAAGAGGGCTTCATGTGTAATGTACTGATTTACTGATTTGCCTTTGTCTAAATTCAAAGTGCATGTCAAAAGCACTCTTATTAATACATTTAAAAAATATTTTGACCCTGTATATATGCAGCCAGTATGTATGTCACTACGATACACACTGGTAAGCAACCAATTATCTTTGCCATCTTCTTAGTGTCAGTACTAGGTGGTGTGACTCCATGTTTGCCTAGAAGTTGATCTATTTGTGCTTGCCCAGATGGACTTCTCCCTCCTCCTCTTACCTATTTCTGCCGTCAAATAGCAGTGCGTGCACTGCTGTGTCCCATTCTGATGGGTATAGAGTCAGTATAATCACAGGCTGTGGGTCATTTCATCTTAGTCATCAAAGATGAGCGCATTGCATCATTAAATCTTCATCATTACAGCCTTCACAAGTCCACTGCTGAACATAGGTCTCACCCAAGGAATGCCACAAAAAGACATTTCTTACCAGTTCATCACTCCATCTAGTGGAGGACCGCCCTATACTTCGTCTACCGGTAGGAGGCTGCCACTCGTGAAACTTCCTCATTCATTGCTTCGAGCTATATGGCCGGAACTTCAAATTTCAAAGAATTAATTCAGCATTTGAAACCATGATGTTGAAAGTAACTACAACAGAAGTGAGACGACGGGCCCGTGCTTGTGTTAGTAATCGCATCAATTATTTTGAGCATCAACAAATAAATAATTAGAATTTTTATTAGTCTGCCTAAAAATTTAAATTTTCTACCTCAATCTGGTTTTAGGGGACAATTGAAAAATTTGTAACAAATGCGTGTAAGTTATACCTCAAATGAAAGAGTAATAACCAAGCATGTTTTCAAAAAGGTTCGAACAATAAATTAAAGTACCATCAGTTTTTTGTAGAAGTGTCAAAAATGTTTATTATTTAAAATGTTAATTATGTTTCTTTAAATCGTAGAAAATTTTCGTGAACTTAGTGTCTGTACAAAAATATGTCTGATGACACAGATGCTGAGACTATGTTTTCTTAGATTTCTTATTCATTACTTAAATTATAAAAAAAAAACAGACATTTATTAAATAGGTAATTATTACCAATTAACTGTAAAAATTTTGGTTTTATCACCAAAAACAAAAAGTATAGTCAGACTTTGTCATGTACATTACATCAAAATTTGGACAATAATATTCTTAGATTTTGCAAGAATTTTCTGTACTTATTTTTTATATTTAGTAACTATTATATTTAGATTTAACTTGTTTGTCAAGCAATACCTTTAAATTTTTCACACAAGATAAAGAATAAATACATAATTATGACTGTTTCAATTACTAAATGAATGTGGTGCCCTATCCAAAAGCATATTTACATTCAGGTAATAATATAACCATTACACATATACACCATAGAATAGAATAGAATAGAATATGCTTTATTAAGTAGACCAATTATTTAAAACAAGTTTTAAAAAATTGTAAAATTATAATTACAGTAACAAAAAATATTGTGCAGTTCGACTCGCCTCGGTCGCAAAATTTTATTGCTTTTTGTACGTTGCTTTGTCAATACAACTTTAGGCATTTAACTTTAGGTTGAATTTACTTTAATGTATATTTATATCAACCAGAACTACATCAAAACATTTGGCGACAGTTTTTGAGAACTATTGTATGGGATTATGCATTTAGTTTCTTATTAGTATCGATGAGGTAATTGTAACATGGTGAGAAGAACGTCATCATTATCATTCGAATTTAGTTTCTCTACCATTCTTTCCCTCCAAAAATGAATATGAGAGACATTATTAAAAGTAAAATACTTTATATCTAGCAACATTGTATAATTATGTAATTTTATAATTTATCTATTTCTCCCTGGTTGACTGATAGAGAATGCGTTTAAGGTGTCTTACAATAAAAAGTTTTACTTATAATAAATTAAATGTTCAATTTGTGTGTATTTCAGAACCATACATCATACCGACAAATCATTTTTCAAAAGCGTCTGAGAGCAAGATTAAATCAAATTCTACTGATTGTAACATAAACGATGTTCGTAAAGCAAACCTCGATTTAGAAAGCCCTACTATTAAATCAAAGCCTAAAGTCAAAAAAGATAATCAACCAATTAATAAAAAAGCAAAGCATCCTGCAAAGATTATGAAAAATAAAATTTTGAAACAAAAGAGTGTAAATATACTTACGAAAAAAACGTCAGGGGCATCAACAAAATACATTTTTGAATGTGATGGTTGTAGCAAAAAATTTTCAACAAAAGATACTCTCGCCAAACACATTTTATACAGTCATAAGACGCAAAAGAACTCAGTCACCACTGCAGTTCGGACACAAGTTGAACAAACTCCAGTACCACAACTAACGGAAATATTTAATTGTGATATTTGCGAATTTAAAACATCTCAAAAAGGTCGCATTTTGGCACATCTTAAAGCGCACGTCGCTGAACAAGTGTACTGTTGTAATAATTGTGATTATAAATGTATTAGAAAAGATCATTTGCAGAGGCATATGAAAAAACGTACTGGAGAAAAACCTTTTTCGTGTCATATTTGTAAATATCAATGTATTCGAAAAAGTCATATGCAAACACATATGAAAATACATACTGGAGAAAAACCTTTTTCTTGTCATATTTGTAAATATCAATGTATTCAAAAAAGTACTTTGCAAACACATATGAAAATACATACTGGAGAAAAACCTTTTTCATGTAATATCTGTGAATATCAATGTATTCAAAGAAGTAATTTGCAAACACATATGAAAAAACATACTGGAGAAAAACCTTTTTCGTGTCATATCTGTAAATATCAATGTATTCAAAGAATTAATTTGCAAACACATATGAAAATACATACTGGAGAAAAACCTTTTTCGTGTCATATCTGTAAATATCAATGTACTCAAAGAATTAATTTGCAAACACATATGAAAATACATACTGGAGAAAAACCATTTTCGTGTCATATCTGTAAATATCAGTGTATTCGAAAAAGTAGTTTGCAATCACATATGAAAATACATACTGGAGAAAAACCTTTTTCATGTAATATCTGTGAATATCAATGTATTCAAAGAAGTAATTTGCAAACACATATGAAAAAACATACTGGAGAAAAACCTTTTTCGTGTCATATCTGTAAATATCAATGTATTCAAAGAATTAATTTGCAAACACATATGAAAATACATACTGGAGAAAAACCTTTTTCGTGTCATATCTGTAAATATCAATGTACTCAAAGAATTAATTTGCAAACACATATGAAAATACATACTGGAGAAAAACCATTTTCGTGTAATATCTGCGAATATAAATGTATTACAAAAAGTAATTTGAAAACACATATGAACACACACACTTGAACAGAACCTTTTTTGTGAGAGATTGGTAAATTATGGCAATATTATATAATGTAAACGTGTTTTATATAAATATAAAAGTATACTAGATAAAATCCATTTGTCATGAGTTCCTTATGTAACTGTAGAACGAGTAGAAAAACCTTTCCGTGTCATATGTGCTAGTTGAAACTGCATTTATTCTGAAAAAGCTAATTCAAAAACCAAAGAAGCAACCAAGTGAAATCGAACCTTGAAATATGTACCGAGTGGTTAGTGGAAACAGACCAGACTTCATGTTTTTTTTTTAATTTTATTTAAATCATACTAGTTTGTTTTTATTTATTCGTTTCGACATGTATCGTTACCGTTACAGCCTATAAAAGTCCGCTGCTGAACATAGGCCTCCCCCACGGATTGACTCATGGGGGGATATTTGCCATAGTTGCCATGCAGGTGGGTTGGCAACCGCGGTTTTTTATTTTTATTTGTTATTAGGAAGACGCTGCTGCCCATCTCCTGGTTTATTTCCTCCGTCGCCTAGATATAATATATAGATATAGATATAATATTAATACGCACGCACCCTGAAGACTGACGAGAAGATCCTGGAGCTGGAAGAAGAGATAGACAAATTGCGCTGGAATATCATAGGATTATCCGAAGTCCGAAGAGAGGGGAGGAGGCGGTAATCCCCGAATCCGGCAATTTGTTCTATCACCGGGAGGGCGACCATCTGTCCCAAGGAGGTGTCGGATTTATCGTCCACAAGTCTCTCGTTAACAACTTTGTAAAGATCGGGAGTGCGTCGACGAGGGTTGCGTACCTTATACTCAGAATTATCAAACGGTATTCGCTGAAGATCATACAGGTTTACGTACCAACCTCGGCACACCCCGATGAGGAGGTGGAGGAAATGTATGAGGATATCTTTAGAGCCATGCATTCCTCCAAAACCCACTATACGGTGTTAATGGGAGACTGCAACGCAAAACTAGGCACAAGAGAGAACGGTGAGCTGAAGGTAGGGAATTTCGGATTAGGGCAACGGAACCCAAGGGGCCAGCAGCTGGCCGACTTCATGGAGAAAGAGGGACACTTTATGATGAACTCTTTCTTCCAGAAGCGGCCCGACAGGAAGTGGACCTGGTCGAGCCCCAACGGTTCGACAAAAATGAGATTGACTTTATTATGAAGACCAGACGACAACTGTTCAGTGATGTCTCAGTGATCTTGAGGGTGAAAACCGGCAGCGATCACCGAATGGTAAGAGGCAGGCTGAACCTAAACGTTAAGTTAGAGAGGTCTCGTCTAATGAAGTCCCCCTCGTGCTCTATTCCAAAGTCCCGAAACCTTTCAGGGGGCCTACTACGAAGTGTTTATAAAACTTGGCAAGTTCCGAGCAGTTCAGTTTCTGACCTTAAACTGAAATGCTTTATTTGGTACTATGAACTACGCTTAGCTCAACTGTTTTAAACCCATATAACGGCTTTGCTCACGGGTTAGCGTTGTCTCTGTCTTGTTTTGGCTAAAGCGTCTCCCACACAGAAGCGGCTTGCGGTGGCGGCCAGTTGTATTCGCTTGCAATGTAAGTGAGTCTCCAAAGCCATGCGGCCATGGCGCGGCCTGCGAGCGGTTGGCCGCGGCCGCATGCTCCGCCCCATTTTCCAATGCGTGTGTGTTAGCAAGTACGCGGTCAGTCGGTGGCTGCAGCGCGGTCAGTTATAAATTTTTACAACAGGCCGCGTGTACCGCGTGAAAATTGGTGCTAAATTCAGAGGTTTTAATAGAAACAGTGCAAAATTATCTAGTACTTTATGATAATTCGCATCGTGATCACAAAAGCATTAGTATTAAAACAAAATATATGATAATATTACTGAATATAATAAAGACTTCGTCACGGTTTGTCATGTTCGTACGTCCGATCGTAGCACAGACACCACAGCGAATGGCGCTTCCGCCACTTGGGCCGCGGTGGTGTGTTGTTACAGCGGCTGCAACCGCGGCCCGCGGTTAGCCGCCACCGCAAGCCGCTTCTGTGTGGGAGACGCTTAACCGTTCGAGTGAGAGGACGCTATACAAATGTTATATAAGTTTATCTCTTTAATTTTAAGGTCTGTCTGAAAGTGAAACCTATATTCTTGTAGTTTTTTAATACTAAATAAATTAACAATGTATTAAATTATTACCATTTGAAATGAGGTAGTAATATGCTTTTAAGATATTCAAACATAACAAAAACCTTTTTTTGTTTCTACGGGTTTTGTTTATTAATTTACGATCACGACGAGGAACTAAAGTGGCTTTTTGAATATGTGTTTTCAATTTGAGATGTGATTGATGGTGTAAAGTCACTAAGTCGAGGCGAAATTTAGTTTGTGTGCTCTTTTTGAGAATTTATTATAATATGTTTGTGTGTCAAGTGGATAATAAATTAGTTACCATGTCCATTTTAAATGTAAGCACCCTTCGTACCGTAATATTTTAATGGAATTGTGTGGTTTCGTTAAGATTAAAGGCGAAATGTGATTTCATTACTAAAGAAGCAATGGCAAGTACAACGTCGTCATCGCGTAACATATTCTCAATTAGAAATCCTATGGGAGTTTTTAAATTCCAATAGGGATGTTGCAGTGGGCTTTAATAAAAGTGCACAAGCTCGAGAATGTTCCCGCCGCATGTGGGAGGAGGTAGCCCAAACCCTCAATTCATTTGGATATGGTGCCGTTAAGGACGGCAAAGGCTGGTCTGCCGTAAGTATTATATGAGTAAATATTTATTATTGTAATTTTTTTCTGTCTATGGACTGTTGAAGTTGAAAACGCATATTATTTATATGAATATTCAAAATAGCTTTCATTTTTTCAGTACTGGATTGATTACAAGGGGAAGCTGAAGAAGCGGTGTGCTACTATTAGATCCGCGCAATCTCGAACTGATGGAGAGCCATCTAATGTTCCACAGCTGTCGACTTTAGAAAAGAAGTTTTTAAATATTGTAGGTGAAGATTTTGGTTTGGGCCTTCCTGGTGTTCGTGTAAATCCATTTGAAGATTCAAATATTCATGTAAGTTTTTTCTTGTATCTCACTAAACCATGGGGTGGCCAAAGTTTAAATTTTATTTGACTTAAGCTAAGATATCTACCTTCGCGATAACTTATTTAGTTATTTGTAGATATATTGATTAAATTTTGTGCAATGTACACAAATTCCGCTACATGCATTTTGTAGCGACAAAAGAGTTTAATTCGTAATGATAATTGCTTCATCACATTTTATATTATTTACAGGCTGCATCGACTTCAGATATGTCCCAAATACCTCTACAGGAGGTCCAACAGTCCTTGGAACAAGAAGTTGTTCTTAATACCATTGAAATCATTGAAGGTGTTAATCTCAGGAGTTCACTGGTTCAAGAGCAGCAACAGCTAGAGACTGAAAGTGAACCACCAGTACTTGTAGACGTACATGCTCCTGAGCCTTGTATATCTTATACTGCACCTACAAGTACTCCAGAGGCACATCCCACACAAGCGGTTTCTGTTGCACCAACTGGAGGTGAACAACAACAAAGAAGACGACGCAATCGACGTGTGCGTATTACTCAGGAAGAAGCAAGAAGAGCCTTGGTTGAAACGTCCCAATTGCAGGCTGAAACGGAGGCTCGTAATAGCCGCAATATTACGGAGTTCGTGCAAGTTCTTCATCGAATTCAAGATGTTTTGGAACGCATTGAGAGAAGG